GGCTGCGATGACAGCCGTTAATCGCTGTAGTTTGTCGCTGCCCGTGTGTCGAGCCCTTTACACAGTGAAACATTTAGGGGTGTAATAATCCTCCTGAACAGTTGGCGGCAGTGTTTAACAATTTGAAACATCACCAAGCTCTATCACTGAAGAAGAGTAATGACAAGAAAGTGATGATTTTCTTTATATCCAGAACATATGCCTGTAATCTGACTTATGGCGTCAACTTTTAGTGACAAAAGTTTTTTTTGTCACCATAACAGTATCAGTTTATGTTATGAAGGCTGCATGATTATCTGTGTTTATCATGAGTAGACCTATCACTAAATCATAAAAAGTGAAACACCCCTCTAAATTCACTAAATTCATTGGGTAAAATTGATATTGTTAGTTTTAAACATGCATTTGAGGGTCATTATTTGGCACAATGACATGTGTTACAATTAAAAATAAATCAATAAACAATATCACAATATAACAATAAAAAGCACCCCTAGAGTCATTGGATATGATAAATTGTGACACATTAATTAACCTTATCTCAGCCACAGCAGTGAGTTTAAAACAGGATGATGAAACTAGTTTAATGAAGAATCTGTGTCTGAAATAATTATTAAATCAAGTGTTAATTTAAGTAGGTAAAAGTCTGTTTAACAATCTGGTAAAATACACCAGAATGCAGGAAATGGCACCTATTTCGTCCAAAATTTTCTGGGGGAGGACCCCCAGACCACCCAGCAGTGTGTCCCCACACTTTTAAAATGGTTCTGACACCCATGTTTATAAGGTAGTCACTGCCTGCATGAGGACATAAAGAAATGACCAAAACACGAAGATCTGCAGAAAATTTCAAGTAAAAAAATGATGTAATGTTCCTGGCCACCCCTGTGTGAGTAGTGGTGCCCGTCTGGCCACCCCTGAGAAAAATGTCTGGCTCCGCCACTGCTCCCACCATCATCCCTGAGCTGACCAGTATAAGAGGCGTGAACCGAGCGTATCGTGGAACAATTAATGTGACTGTCGATGGTATAACCTGCCAGAACTGGACGGTGAAGGGTCCATATGGGGAAAATTTCACACCCGACGTCTACGCCTGTCGGTAAGAGAAATCTATCTACACCAACAACCGATGTCCATGAGTGGGCAGAATATTAGAGTGTAACCTCTCTTCCAGAAATGGAATGCACTAAAGAAATGTCCAGTTGTTTAGGCTTTAATGGTTTGTGCTTCATATTTGTTTTTGTCTGTGTTCCATTCAAGAGGATTAGAGAAAAACTATTGTCATCACCCTAATAACTGGGCAAAGCCCTGGTGCTACACCATTGATCCTGACATTACATGGCAGTACTGTGATGTTCCAAAATATGACAACAACACTGTAACAG